CACACTGCTGGGCTCTCACATCTCACACTCGGATCTCACACACACACTGCTGGGCTCTCACATCTCACACTCAGATCACACTCACACACACACACACTCACACTGCTGGGCTCTCACATCTCACACTCAGATCACACACACACGCACACACTGCTGGGCTCTCACACTCACATGCACACACATGTACACACATGCACTGCAGCCCTGCGCTGGTGAATGCTGGAGCAGCCGACGTGTACACTGGATAGATGGCCACCACGGAGGCGGGAGTCACTGTGCGCCTCCTGCTCGTTCTTGTCCAGTCTCAGCTGAAACCTCAGCAGCCGAGAGTTGTACTGAAAGAAAAATAATGAGGTTCTTTCTAGTAAAAGCAGTGCCATCCCAGGAAGTGGGGGTTTCTCACAAATGAACTGTGGTTGCAGTACAGAACTCCACGGTGAGGTTTGTCCGGCAACAGTGTATGTATCCTGCTGCTTGTCATTCTCAGCACTGCGACCAGGGCTGGTTGTCTTCAGCACAGACACGAGAGCTTGTCCTTATATTCCTAACAGCTAGACAGAGCGCATGGCATTTAATAACTGTTAGTTGTCAGCAGGTTTTGCTGGGGGGTTCTTAAAGGAACCCGTCAGTATGTTTCAAGGCGCTGACTGCCTTTGGGCATCTGTCTCCTCCTGGGGAAAATCTGTAAGGAGATCCTTGAGTGCAGACGATTCAGAAAAGACTTAGGTCAGATCGTGGGTCCTCAATGAGCCACTCAGGAGATCTGCGAGATTTGGGGCCCCTTTAAATGTCCCGTTGGCGCTGCTGTTGGCTTGACTGCCGGCAGGTTAGTGCGCCTGCGGAACTGAGCGGCGGTCTCTCTCTCTCTTGCCTAGCGGTCACCGAGGAGACGCTGTGCGTGGGCCTGGCCCGGGTAGGGGCCGAAGACCAGCAGATCGCTGCAGGCACGCTGCAGCAGATGTGCTCCGTGGCGCTGGGAGGGCCGCTGCACTCCCTGGTCATCACGGGGGGCAGCCTGCACCCGCTGGAGGTGGAGATGCTGAGTCTGTTTCCCGTGCCCGAGGCCAGCTCGGGGCCTCAGAGCACCGAGGGGCCCCGCCCGTAGGCACGTCTGTGGAGGCTCATTTCGGTCCGGTGCCCCTGCCTGACTCTGTTCCAAGGGGAACGGGGCTCCTGTTCACCCGGGAAGCACCGCACCAGCGGCCAAGAGCGAGCGGACTCCACGCTTGGTTTCCTGGGCCCCGAGACCTCTGCCTTCGTCAGCCGCTGCTGCTGTCCTGGCGGTTTTCAGGATGTGAACACGTGGAGCAGACCAAGCGGGAAGCTGGAGGGTGGCACCACCTGGAGACCTTGAAAAGCAGCTTTTCGTTCTGAAGCCTGCACCAGGTGGGACCCACTTCCTCCTTCCTTACGTCAGCTGCCTGCGTGCAGGCGCGGTCCCGCCTGCAGTCGTGTGAGCCTGGCAGCCGTGGGGTAAGGGCTGCAAGCCGAGGTGGGGCCTCCGTCACAGACTCCCAGCTCACCTGCCACAGAATGACTTCCTCCCGAACCGCCGTGTCTCCCTTCGCTGACACCCTGGTTACGGAGCTCGGATGTGGCTATATTTGGGGCTTATGTAATTGATTGTTAATATAAATGTGCAGCCACCATGTACAGTTGCTCTCTGGTTTTAAATAGCAACTCACAGCCAAGTGGGAAACTTGCTGACCACAGAATAAAAGTTTTTAAAATTTGGGTTTGAAGACAACGATGGATGAGTCACGATGCGTCCCGTCACTCACCTGTTAGGATGCCCGATAGAGACAGGATTCTAAGGGCTGGGAAGGTACCTCTGCTTCGACGTGAATCTGAAGCCTTTGCCTGCTTATACCCTTTTAAAACACTGACCTGCCTGCTCTCAGGAAGTGCTGGGGGTGCTGGGTTTTGCGTTGCTTTGTCCGCAGTCCTGGGCTTAGCGGGGGCTCTTACAAGGAGGTCAGTTCTCTGGCTGCCTGAGCATTTGCTGTCGCTCTCCTTTCAGTGTGACTCCTCGTCATACGTGTTCATCTGACGCGGGTGGCCTATTCATTCACACCGACATGGTAGCATGTGCTAAGCCTCAACTTCACGGCCTGTTTTCAAAGCCTGGAATACGGCTGGATGAGCTGATTGTTTGAGTGACAGCCCCACTGAAGCGCTTCCTCTCTCTTTTCTGTCCAGAACGGAAAGTACTAAGTGGCTGTCGCTGCAGGTATATCTGTCTGTCCGGTCGGCTCCTCCCTGCTGTTGCTGTCTCTCTGGTCTAGGAGTGAACAGTGTGCCCACGGCCACATCGTGCGCGATGAGGTGAATGAGGGAAGGGAGAGCACTGATTTCTGAAGCTGCTCCGTGAGCCCCGAGGGAGCCTCTCGCGCTCATGCCCTGAGCACTGAGGCCCTTAGGACACAGGGAGGCTTCTGGGCGCAGCAACAACAGCTCGTGACCTGCTGCCGGGAATAGCGTGCCTGCGCCTGTGTGAGCAGAGCGGGCTGCTCCCGGGGCTGTGACAGGCCTGCGGACTTCAGGTCAGAGGCGAGTCCCAGGGAACTCCGGGAGGGCGGCCTGCAGGTGCTGGAGCCGGGTCAGAGTCCAGTGCGCAGGCGGCAGCCAGGAAGCCAGGGTGGGGGTGTTTGAAAAGGGCCTGGCAAAAGCCTCACTCAGCAGAAATTTATCATGCTTCCTGCCCAAGGCCGGACTGTTTCTGGGGGTGAGAGTGGGAGTGGGAGGGCCTGGCATGGAGGTGGCATGGGGCAGGCGGGAAGCCAGACAGTCCCTCCCAGCGACTGTGTGGTCACCCGGGCAGCAAACAGGCCGGTGAGCTGGGAAAGACGAAGCAGAAAGATTGCAGAGGAAGGAAGAGGGGCTATGATGGGCCTTCAGGAAATGGAGGAACCCATGCTGAAGTCCTCAGATGTGGGAAGCTCAGTGTTGTTTTTCCCTTTGCTGGTGTGAGATGCTGGCAGTCCCGCCACGGACGTGACAAGAGAGCAGGTGGCCTTTGACTAACTGCTGCCGAGGGAGGAGGGAGCCCGTCCCGGGAGCCATGGGAAAGGCAGGAGCAGGTGGGAGCAGGGAGGAGCACACAGGACAGGGCCCTCCGTGTGGCAGGGATGGCGACCACCGAAGAGGCCGCTCAGAGAAGGAGGAAGAGGAGGAGGAGGAGTGGGGCCTGGTTTTATGAAAAAGTTTCTTTGAAAGAGAATCGCTTCTGAGTTAGAGGGGAGAAAACTGGAAGGAGATCAGAGGCTCACGTCACTTAGGTCTGCACTCCCTGTTCGCTGAGGTCACCCAGAGAGAATGAGGGTGGGGAACCATTTGAATTCATGGAAATATCTGGAAATAAACACCAAGACGTGGTCATGGGGGGAAATCGTGAGTCAGAGCCACAGTGAGGACGTTCGCCATGTCCAGACCGCTCTCCGCTGTTGTGGC